ACTTCATACGTACTATCCACACTATATGATGACTTCATACGTACTATCCACACTATATGATGACTTCATACGTACTATCCACACTATATGATGACTTCATACGTACTATCCACACTATATGATGACTTCATACGTACTATCCACACTATATGATGACTTCATACGTACTATCCACACTATATGATGACTTCATATGTACTATCCACACTATATGATGACTTCATACGTACTATCCACACTATATGATGACTTCATATGACTATCCATACTATATGATGACTTCATACGTACTATCCACACTATATGATGACTTCATATGTACTTTCCACACTATATGCTGACTTCATATGTACTATCCACACTATATGATGACTTCATATGACTATCCACACTATATGATGACTTCATACGTACTATCCACACTATATGATGACTTCATATGTACTATCCACACTATATGATGACTTCATACATACTATCCACACTATATGATGACTTCATATGACTATCCACACTATATGATGACTTCATACGTACTATCCACACTATATGATGACTTCATATGTACTATCCACACTATATGATGACTTCATACGTACTATCCACACTATGTGATGACTTCATACGTACTATCCACACTATATGATGACTTCAGACGTACTATCCACACTATGTGATGACTTCATATGTACTATCCACACTAAATGATGACTTCATACGTACTATCCACACTATATGATGACTTCATATGTACTATCCACACTATATGATGACTTCATATGTACTATCCACACTATATGATGACTTCATACGTACTATCCACACTATGTGATGACTTCATACGTACTATCCACACTATGTGATGACTTCATACGAACTATCCACTAGAGACCGACCGAAAGTGATTTTCTGATTTCGGCCGAAGCCGAAAATAGGCCGAAAGTTTAAAATGACTTCCGGCCGAAACCGAAAAAGCCGAAAGTTAAAAAGGAATTTCGGCCGAAACCGAAACCGAAGCCGAAAATGAAAAATTTAGGTAATTTTTTTTAAATGTTTCTATATATTTTTGTATGAACAGTGAGTAAGTGGATGAAAATGAATACTAGTTCTTGAGAACCCTTAATGTTTTTATTGTTTAAAAAGGTTTAGCAGATTGTAATAGTTGTAATCGCTTTTTTGTGGATTACTTGATGCGACCCATTCTCATTCAGACACTGCATCCTGCGCGCCCCCCCCCCCTTGGTGATTCGAGTTTGAGACCCTTGATCTAATGAATACTTTGGATTTTACCATTTTAATATAAAAGTAATTCAAATTGCTTTACAATTTTTTTTAAATTAGTATGGTAGGAGAAAATTTTGCAAAAAATTGGGGGGGGGGGGGGGG